TTTTAAAAATAATAAGTGCTAAAATAAATTTTCGGTGGCCGGACGTATACTTTAGGTATTGGGTGCATCAAGAACTATTTTAAAATATTAGGTGCTATTAAAAAAATATTTTAGGTTGTTGAACTTATTGAAAAATATTTTGAGATATTGAGTCTTATTAAAAAAATAATTTATGTTCGATGCTACCTAAACCAAGTTTTTACTCATTTAATTATTTTTAAATTTTTTCCTGATTTTATAAAAACTTAAACCTAAACTGATATTATTTTATTAATAAATTACTTACTACCTCCTGTTTTTAATATAAGACATCGTTTGACTTTTATTTTAATCTTAAATATAAGATTCCAATTCACTTTGTCTCTCATATTTATATATTTTTCTCAAGATATCTTTCTAATAATAATAATTTTAGTCAATACACTTAATTAGTAAGAATATTTTAGAAAAGATAATACTTATTTATTATAAATAACTAACTTAATTTTTTAATCTCTTTAAATTAGTCAACTAATTCTTATAAATACGGAAGAGGTAATATTAGCCTTATCTTGGTGCTCCTCCTCTGCTCATTTCATCCGTTCGCGCTCTCTCTCTCTCTTCATTGAGCACGGTGTCGTTTTGTGGGCAGCAGGCGGGCAGCGGATGAGAGAGTAGTGCGGTATGTTTGGATGACATCTCAAACCATGGTTTTGAAGACAAAACCATGGTTTGAATAAAATGCTATCCAAACAACCTTCAATATTTTGAAACCATGGCCATGGTTTTAACCTCTAAAACCCTGGTTCTGTGGAAAGCAAAATTATCTTGCTTCTGGTGCTGAAGTTTTCGCTGTTGGGTTGTCAGAAATTATTTGGACAAAAAATGCCCCTTGACTTGCTTGCGTTGCTGGCGTGGAGAAATGGTCTACGGTCATTTGGTCCTGACGCAGCAAGAGAGTGAGCCTGAAAGAATCATAAAGCAGAAAAGATAATTACTATAATAAGTAATAAATTGTTTTAAGGTGTGCTTATTTATTTTGTCAAAAAATATCATGATATTTCATATTTATAATCTTTAAAATAAAATAATATTTTTCTGTTGGTAAAAAATATTTATTTTTTCCAGAAACATTTTTAATCTTATATTTTATAAATATATATACACATGTTAATTATTTATTAATTATGTTTTCTTATATACTATTAATTATGTTGGTAAAAAAATATATTATTAACAATTTTGTTCCTTCAAATTAAAATATATTATAAAATCTATATTTTATGTAATTATCATATTAACTTATGCCCTTTTTAATAATTTGCACATATAAAAAGTACTTCTGATAATAACTATCCAAACACTCTCACTTCTCAGAATCACTTTTTCATAAAATCTATTCTTTACATCTATTCTCCAAACCATGGTTTGATTTTATCCAAACACTCCCTGAATCCCATTGGATTTGAAGTGGGAATTCCTAAACCCTTTATCCCAATGACTTAGGGGGTGTTTGGGTGATAACCTAAACCATGGTTTGGGAAAAAATCACCTAAACACCCTTAAAAAAACCAAAACCATGGTTTTGGTTTTGGGAAAAGCAAAAATTTTTTGCTTTTGGAAAAAAAAAGGAAGAGTGTGAGAGCCTATAGGATATGTATCTTGTTGTTTTTTTTATAAACATATTTTTTATAAATATATTTAATCTTATATCTTATAAATATATATACATATTAATTATTTATTAATTATATTATCCTATGTATTATTAATTATGTTAATAAAAAATATATTATTAACAATTTTATTCCTTCAAATTAAAATATATCATAAAATATATTTTTTCTGTAATTATCATATTAACTTATACCTTTTTTAGTAATTTGTACATGTAAAAAGCGCTTCTGATAACAACTATTCAAACACTCTCACTTCTCAAAATCGAATCTATTTTTCAAAAGCTATTTTTCAAACTATGGTTTGGTTATATCCAAACATCCCTTTAAGATAATAAATGCCACCGGCACTATACGCCCCCTGCCACTAGTGCACTACCGTCTACCATCGATATGAGATATTCTCCCCTTATCACTACTGGAGTGGAGTCGTTACTGTGGGCCATGCCAATACCTCCATGTCCATCTTATCATTGTCGTTTCCACTACCGTAATATCATCAACTTCGTCAACATCATTTCACGGGTGCCAAAAATCTAAGGCCATCTCTTATTTAAGATAAGAGTTAGTTAAAAATTCAATTTAATTTTGGATATGAAACATTAGTTTATTTTGTCTGTAACATTTATCCATTTTACTTATGATGATTACACATGATAGGGACTCTCTATTGAGAGATAGTTTCAATACACGTAATTAATAAAGATATTTTATAAAAAAAATAATATCCACGTGTTATAAATAATTAATTTAATTATTTTTTTAATATCTGTAAATTAGTTGTCTAGTTTTTATATTAAGGACAAGAAGTAGTGTATATATATTCATCATATTACAAAATTATGCTCTTCACTCTTAGATATATGATTTTGATTCACTTTATTTTTCCCTTTTAGTTTTTTTTTTGGTATAATAGAAGGAATATGAGTTACAAATTAACAGCCGGAAAATTGTAAATCATGGAAAATTGGTATTAAATTACTAAATGTGACAAAATTTGACAGGAAAAATTAAAAAAAAAAGACTATTGAATTTTAAAATTTCAAATCAGAAATTACTACAAAAATGTGTTCTTATTTATTTTTTTGAGTGTAGTCATTTTCTTTACAATTGTAGTAACTAATACTGATTTAAAATTTTAAAATTCAACAATCATTTTTTTGGGGGATTTTTCTAATTTGATATGTTAAGTTATCATTTTTTTTTCATTAAAGAAAAAAAAGGAAGAATAAGTAGTGTTTGAAGTATTAGCTTTGCAAATTGCAAATAAGAAAAATTAGTATTAACATATGGAAAGTTGTAGAAATTTTTGACAAGAGAAATTTTGATTTTTCATTATAAAAAGTTGTAGAAGATGAATTGCAAGTTAATGTTTAGCAAGTTGTAAATTAAGAAAAAAAATTAATCTAATTAAATTAGTTAAGTAGGTCTTAATTGAGAATTAAAAGAGTATTTGATTTTTGAGGGTAAGATTTATGTTTTCAATCTAAGATTATTTTTTATAATGATTTGAATATTATGGCAAGAACAAGAATTTTCAGTTCGCAACAATATTTTTTTCTACTTATAGAAAGAAAACCACATTTCATATGAAGAAAATTAGTTGAAATTGGATAGCGATGTAATTTCCGGAGATGGATTGATTCGATTTGGTTTTGTTTTTGTTTGAAATGAACGTCAACCAAACTTAATAGCCTTGTGACTTAGTATTAGCTCTTTTATAAGTAAAAAGTGATGGGTTTGATCTCACTTAACTAGCTTGTAACCTCAACGTATTAGTGCTCTTAGGTGAAACTTGGAGACTGGACATATGTCAGGTTAGATTGAACTAGTATAAATTATTATGTATATTTTTTTCCTATTATTTCCTCAAGTGATAGGTAATATCTTCTCTGCTTTATCCTGCTTATATTAATTAGGTTTGATTATTTTATCAGTTGTAAAATTTTTATAATACTCAATTCATCCTTTTCTTGGTTGTTCGATCATACTAACAAAGTGCACCAGAAAACTATGTCCATTACCAAGTGTCAGTTTTGCGTAATATTCGCTCAACGTCGTCTTGTGCCTTGGTTGAATTTTAAATGAAAAATTATTAATGATTGCCAGATATAATATTATACTCCTCCGGTTCTAAATATAAAACCTATTTTGTAGTATAATTTATACTACAAAATGGGTTTTATATTTAGGACCAGAAGAATACTACCTCCTATCCTTAATATAAGATATTATTTGACTTTTATTTTAGTTTTAAATATAAAATCCAGGTTTATTTTATCTTTCATATTTATTTCTACGGGAGGGAGTAGTAATTGTAATGGGCATTATGCTTAAGTAAACATTTGGATTCTTGGTGGAAATAGTTTTCAATGAATATATCTTTATTGAATCCTGATTAATAATAATAAACTCAATGCAAGCTTATCCTCAAAAAGCTGGAGTTTGAAGATTGACTTGTACTACCACACTCTCTTTGAAGATTGATGCTTATCTATTTCACTCTATATGCTATACAACATCTCCAGTTGGTGAATTTCTTAAACAAATAGAAAATCATTCCTTTTTCTAACTACCTCCAGTCTTTAATATAAATTTTTTTTAATTTTTATTTTATTCTTAAATATAAAATACTAATCTATTTTGCTTTTCATATTATATAAAAATAGTCTTTATAATAATAGTAAATCTAGTCAATACACTTGATTAGTAAGGATATTTAAGAAAGAGAATACATATTTATTACAAATAACTAACTTAACCATTTTCTTTAATCTACTCAAATTAATCAATTAACTTTTATATTAAGGATAGGAGGTAGTATTAAATTGAAATTTGACAGAACTACACACTACACTTGATCTTAGCCAAAAGGCCAAGAAGAATGTCATTATACCAAGATCTTTCTCCACCCATTCCTTCTACAATACTGATGTTTTATTTATTCCCTGTTCCTCTCTGAAACTCCTACAGCAACTTTATTTGTATAACTTATTTTAATTTTTACAACAACTCATTCATTGATTTTCTTCTTCCATAATTAGAGATTTATTTGATAGTACTTGTATTTTAAAACATTAAACAAATTGATGAAAAAAACTATCGTTTGGGCGAAAATGGAGGCAACCGAATCAAACTTTATGCATCCAAGATAACATCAGAAATCTCTCCCCCTCCCCCCAAAAAAAGCAACATCAGACACGTCATCCAATAAACAAACCAATTATTTTTCTGCAAGAGGAGCAGCTTTCTTGTCATACAAGAAATAGTTGCTAATATTTTATTTTACAACAAACCATCAATTATGAAGAGATACGAAACAAACGAAAATACTTTTTTTTTTTATTTGGAGTAGATATATTAATCATGCTTGTTTGGGAGCACTTAAAATAAGTTGATGCAAAAACAAGCCAAAAACTAGTTGATAGGACCAAATTTCTCTATGAATTTGGCCACAAGCTTCTCATGAGGAGGCAATGTCTCCTTCATCAGAGGATGTTTCTTGAGGGCATCCATCCATGTCAAGAACTCTGAGTTCATGTGGCGTTGAATCACCTCCATTCCCAAGGCATCATTGAGAACCTTGTAGTTGCAAGCAAGAGCTCCCACCGCAATATCCAGTAGCCCCAAGGACTTACCCCCACAATAAGGGAATTCCTCTGCAAAATCTTTCTTCACTCCTTCATAAAAGACTCTAATCATCTCATTCAAATTCTCAATTGCTTTCTTTCTTTCTTTCTTCTCCTCTTGATAAGAAAGAAGATGGGGTAGATAGCTGGAGGGATCTACGGACCAGGCCAATGTTAATTTTATTAGAATCTCTGAAAAATGAAAACTATTTGCATAATAGTTCATCAAACATATTACTCCTCCAGTTCTTAATATAACATTTATTTAACTAATTTGATTAGATTAAAAAAGGTAGGTGATTAAGTTACTTAATTATAAGAAATATGACATACTTTTCTTTAAATATCATAATCACTTTCTTAATATCCTCCATCCCTCTCCTACTTGATTATGGTTGAGAGTGTATAAACAGGAGTAAATTAGAAAAAAATTGATAAATATAAGAAATATGTTTTATTTTTAGAACCAAAATTAACTCACTGATTAGGTCATACATTAAAGACAGAAGGAGTATATTACTTCAAAGTGATATTAATTAGACTAAATTTTTGCAAGATAAGGAAGGGTGATACTCACCTTTTGATCAAAATAATTGACCCAGAAACGAACTTTTGCCTTTTGATAAGGATCATGAGGCAAGAGTTTTGGGTTTTGATCCCAAATCTCATCGATGTATTCCAAGATGACAGGTGACTCAGCTATTGCTTTATCATTATGCAAGAGCACTGGAACCTTCTTGTGGAGAGGATTGTTCTTCAGCAGCAACTCACTTTTATTTGTTAAATCTTCCTCCACGTATTTGTAAGGTATGCCCTTAAGTTTAAGGGCTAGCGCAACCCTTGTGCAAGGGCCGCTTGCCCAAACTCCCAAAAGCACAACTTGGCTTCTTTTCTCTTCCATGAGTTTTTTCTGCTCTTTCTATATGGTTCATGAGATTGTAGCTATGTGAGCGTTGGTTTTTTTTTTTTTTTATAGAAATTCTTCTCTGATTATTCAATGTGCATTTCTTGAGGAAGAAGTTGCAGAATGTCTCATTTCTTTGGCTGCCAGATTGACCCATTTTTTTAATGGCAATAAAGGTGGACTAACAAGATAAACGTTGAATTCTGTGGATATTTTTTTTGTGACCAAGGGAGAATTCTGTGGATATTAAAACATTCAAAATGCCAACATTAAAATAATGATCTGGGCCCCGTCCTCAAAAATGCTATCAGACTTGTGACTCATTTTATTTGATTTTCTTTGGTAAGCAATTGTTTTAGGAAAACCGACACTAGTACTGGAGAAGTTGTCCTGTTTTGTTGTTATTTTTTCTTTAAAAAAATGTACAAGTTCCTTTTCAGTTTTTTTTTTAAAAAAAAGAGCTAAAATTTACATACTGGAGTTTACAATGAAAAATAGGCAATTTACAATAAATATAAGGGTATTAACGGTAATATAAGGGGGAATTACAACAAAAATCAGGTTATTTACAAGACAATATAAAGGGATTTACAATAAAAATTTGATAATTTATAAGAAATATAAGAAAATTAATTACAACAAAGATGGACTAACAACATAAACGTTGAATTCTGTGGATATTAAAACATTCAAAGGAGAATTTATTTTTTTGTTGTTATTTTTTCTTAAAAATGTACGAGTTCTTTTTTAGTTTTTAAAAAAATAGAGCTAAAATTTACCTGGAGTTAATTTGCATATGGGTTTATCCAAAGGAGAATTTCACTACACCCCTTATGTACCTATTTAATATTCAAAAGCTCTCAAAATATTCTGAAATGTCACTCTACCTTTTTGGAAAAAAATGGAATTAAATTTTGAGGATAAAAAAACACTTGTCCTTTTATCTTATTTTTTTAAAAAGAATCACTCATCATCAATTTATAAAAGATGCAAAGGAATTTATAATAAAAATTAGGCGATTCACAAAAAATACAGAGAGATTTATAGTATAAATTTGACAATTTACAAGAAATATAAATAAATTAATGACAACACAACTGTATAATTTATAAGAAATATAAGAAAATCTACAACAGAAAATTGACAATTTATAAGAAATATAAGGAGATTACAATGAAAATTAGACAATTTACAACTTATACAAAAATTAACAACAACATATAAGGAAATTTATAACACAAATTAGGTTATTTGCGGCAAACAAAAATTATTTTTGTCTGTATGGTTTGAGCACAAATGTCTTTTCATTTATAATATTTTATTTTATTTTGAGCAGGGAAATTGTCCCTTTATCCAAATCTCTTACGAAACACGTATAGTCGTACTACCCTGTGAATTTTTATAGTCAGATGGTTCAGTTTTTTTCCTGGAAAATTTCAGAAAAAGCCCTTGAAATATAAGAAATTTCAGATTGGGTTCTGAAATTTTGAAAATGACAGAAATGGTCAATAACCCAATCTGTCATTTACAAAATCAAGAAGAATTGACAACTTTGTCCTCATTTGTATTCACTACAATGATTTAAGGAATCACTATAAGGGTTTAGGCGTTACCTAGGTTTGTTTTTGAATGGGCCTTACAACATTGGAAATTAGGCTCAGTGAGCTTTATAACAATATATCATTTGCTTAATTTGTGATTAAATTAAGAAAAATATGTCCACTAAAAATTGATCTTTAACTACAAGGCACCTGATTATGAAAAAGTGAGTAGTTATTTTCTACACAAACCTAGTCTGTAAACCGAAAATGCTAGAATTTGATTGCTTCCTCTGTCACTTTTTCCCTCACAATGTGGGGATTCAACTTCTCTTCGCTACTCTCCCATCCACTACCTGTTCGCTGCCACGAAATGACACCGGATGCAATTGAAAAAAGTAACGGTGCACAATAGATAGACTGGACCATACTTGAACCCAATCTGAAGTCTGATCTAATTTTTTGTCAGGCTGGATCTGGTAGTGCGTGGCTCAGTCTAATTCAGGAGTGACCCGAGGTTAGGTTGGTTTGAACTTGATCTAGTCAAATATTTGGACTGACCCAAATAGTCTAAAACCTTAATTTTCTTTTTTCTTTTTATTTTTTTATGGAATCAAGATTTCATGTAAATAAACACATTTAGCACAATGAAAAAACCTATAAAACATTAAGACTTAATCATAGATCCATAAGAATTTCAACAATATTAAGTAGCAATTAAAAAACAACATTCTAAATTATAAAATATTTTCTCAAAAATATCATGTAGACCAGACTAAATCAGTCCAAGTAACTTTTATACATCCAATATCTTTCAAGAGTGAATGCTCTTAAAAAAAAATAGTTTAGATATTGAGTGCACTAAAAATTATTTTAAAATAATAAGTGCTAAAATAAATTTTAGGTGGCCGGACGTATACTTTAGGTATTGGGTGCATCAAGAACTATTTTAAAATATTAGGTGCTATTAAAAAAATATTTTAGGTTGTTGAACGTATTGAAAAATATTTTGAGATATTGAGTCTTATTAAAAAAAATAATTTATGTTCGATGCTACCTAAACCAAGTTTTTACTCATTTAATTATTTTTAAATTTTTTCCTGATTTTATAAAAACATAAACCTAAGCTGATATTATTTTATTAATAAATTACTTACTACCTCCTGTCCTTAATATAAGATATTGTTTGATTTTTATTTTGGTCTTAAATATAAGACCTCAGTTCATTTTGTCTCTTATATTTATATATTTTTTCTTAAGATAGTCTTTCTAATAATAATAGTTCTAGCCAATACACTTAATTAGTAAGGATATTTTAGAAAAGATAATACTTATTTATTAATAAATAACTAACTTAATTTTTTTAATCTCTTTAAATTAGTCAACTAGTTCTTATAAATACGGCAGAGGTAATATTAGCCTTATCTTGGTGCTCCTCTGCTCATTTCATTCGTTCGCGCTCTCTCTCTCTCTCTCTTCATTGAGCACGGTGTCGTTTTGTGGGCAGCGGGTGGGCAGCAGATGAGAGAGTAGTGCAGAGAGGCTGAATCCCATTGGGTTTGAAGTGGGAATTCCTGAGCCCTTTATCCTGACGTAGAGCCGGGAAAACGGGCCGAACTCGTCAGGTCAGCCCGTTTAGACCTTGAAATTATGAGGGCCGGACTTGATATTTTTCCTTCAAATGGGAAATAAGCCCTGGAGGGCTGGTCCTGGAAGGCCGAGGGCTTAAAAGGGCTGGCCTTGGAGGGCCACGGGCCGGCCCTTTTAAGCCCTTTTATAATTTTTTTTGTTTTTTAAATTTTTTTATATAATTCTAATATTATTAATTTTTTACATTGTTAATAATATTTCAAATATTTAGTTATTATTATCATTTGAAAATTAAATTTAGTGTTAGACAATAATTTATCCAATTAAATGTTTAAAAAATGTGTTAATTTGGAATTTAATAATGATTTGATTTATATTATATGCGTTGATATTTTTAAACTATATATATATATTTGATAATAGAGTATTTTTATATTTATATAACTTGTGATTCTATAATTTGAATTAGAAATTCATGAGTTTCAACAACAATGTTTCTCACATTAAAGTAAAATAATAGCTAGATTGTACAATTTAAAAGTAAAATTCCTATAAAGAAGAAAAACTTAATATTTTGTTACGAAAGAAAACCATACTTATGAAGAAGAGTAATTAATTATAGTGATGATAAAGTTTCAAAAGATTAATGATAGTGTTTATTTATTGCACAATTGTACTATAGATAAAACTTTTGGATGTTGTTATCTTGTTAATGAATGTTTTAGATATTCTTGGATGTTGATAGATATTTATATATGATGATATTTTATATTTGTGACTTAATTTTATTCATATTTATGTCTTTTTTTAATAATTTCATTGGTTTATTTTTATTTTTTATAAAAGTTATGATAAATATAAAAAATAGTATTTTTTTCTCAAACGGACCAAAAGCCTGCGGGCCGGCCCTGAGCCCTGTGGCTTAAGGGTTGGGCCTAGCAAATTGGGATATTTTTAAAACTTCAGCCTTGGAGGACCGACCTTTTTAAGCTTGTCAGCCCTGAAGGACTGACCCTTTTAAGCTCATCAGCCCTGAAGGATCTGATTCCCACCTCTATCCTGATGACTTAACATAATAAATGCCACCGCACTATACGCCCCCTGCCACTAGTGCACTACCGTCTACCATCGATATGAGATATCACTACTGGAGTGGAGTCGTTACTGTGGGCCATACCAATACCTCCATGTCCATCTTATCATTATCGTTTCCACTGCCGTGATATCATCAACCTCATCAACATCATTTCACGGGTGCCAAAAATCTAAGGCCATCTCTTATTTAAGATAAGAGTTATTTAAAAATTCAATTTAATTTTAGATATGAAACATTAATTCATTTTGTCTATAGCATTTATCCATTTTACCTATGATGATTACACATGATAGGGACTCTCCACCAAGAGATAGTTTCAATACACGTAATTAATAAAGATATTTTATAAAAAATAATATCCACGTGTTATAAATAACTAATTTAATTACTTTTTTTAATATCTGTAAATTAGTTATCTAGTTCTTATATTAAGTACAAGAAGTAGTGTGTATATATTCATCATATTACAAAATTATGCTCTTCACTCTTAGATATATGATTTTGATTCACTTTATTTTTCCCTTTTAATTTTTTTTGGTATAATAGAAGGAATATGAGTTACAAATTAACAGCCGGAAAATTGTAAATCATGGAAAATTGGTATTAAATTACTAAATGTGACAAAATTTGACAGGAAAATTTAAAAAAAAAGACTATTGAATTTTAAAATTTCAAATCAGAAATTACTACAAAAATGTGTTTTTATTTATTTTTTTGAGTGTAGTCATTTTCTCTATAATTGTAGTAACTAATACTGATTTAAAATTTTAAAATTCAACAGTCATTTTTT